GAGGAAAAGCAGTGGAAGATAATCCAACTGGTTGGGCCACTGCAGCCCATGCGGGAGATCCGGATGAAGCTCTTGGCTGCAGCCTGGCCCACCCCTGGCCATTGCTGCCATCTGGGGAGTGAACCAGTGGATGGAAGATATGTGTGCGTGTGTGTGTGTGTCTCACTCTAAGTCTGTGTTTAAATAAATAAATAAAAATTAATTATTTAAAAAAAGATCCAAGGCACTTGACTCCTGATGCTGCCCCCTGCTGGTGGGGTTGGCCCTGCCTGCAGCTCCAGCCGGTGAGACGGCCCAGCATTGAGGGTTCTTATCAGTGTTGCTGGTTGGTTCAGGAAAGAGATTCAGCCATGAACTCTTCTCATATCCCTTCCATACAAAGTCAGTTTCTGCTATTTTTAACTCAAAAGCCATGTTCCACTGAACTCACATCAAAGGCAAGGTGTCTTAACATCCCAGCTAATTCTTCAATTCATTTTGAAGTGGTTTGTGTGTGTGTGTGTGTGTGTGTGTGTGTTTCCTGCTGCTAATTTTGCTTACAACAGTTAAAGGCTGTGTGTGGACTGCCACCCTGTCTAAACATTTGTCTGCCAATCAAATCTCAGCACTTCGGTAAATGGTCTGTTTCATCTTGGCAAAAGCATGAAGTGAAAGCGTGCATTTATCAGTAATACCCATCAGCTGGCCTGTCGTGAACCGTGGGAGTAGTGACGACACAGAGATGACCCAGGTGTCTGTCGAGTGCCATTTCTTCCAGGTGCAGGGTGTCCAGAAGACCACATGGCACTCCGGGTCTCCATGCCTCTCCATAATGGGGCCTTGTCGCTGCCAGGGCTTTCCCCATCTTTAAGTGATTGTGCACAGTGAGAACATTTCTGACCGTGTCAGCCAAATGGGCAGGACCTGTAAGGACTCCAGACTGCTTTGGGTATGCGTCGGGGTCGCAGATGTCTGCTATAACACAGGGCCATAAACAGAGCCACTTATTTCTCCCAGTTCTGCGGGCTAAGAAGTGCAGAGTCAAGCCATGGACACATCTGCTGGCTGCTAAGGTCCTGGTTCATGTTGGTGTCTTGGATAGGACACCCAAGACACAAGCAACAAAATTAAAATTTCCAAGTTGAATTATAGCGACTGTAATGTGCATCAAAGGACATAATCAACAGATGGAAAAGGCAAGCCATAGAATGGGAGAAAAAAATACTTGTGATTATATCTGATAAAGGTTTAATAACCAGAACAGAGAAATCCTATGGCTCAATAAACAAAAACTCAATTTAAAAATAGGCTAAGGACACAAACGGATCTTGTTCCAAAGAAAAATATACCAGTGATCAACAGCACATGAAAACATCCTCACCTTATTTTAGACATATAAATTAACACACTTATTAGGAAGACTAGTATTAGAAGTTTTTTATAATACGTTTATAATAAAATAAGTGTTGGTGAGGGTGTGGAAGATTTGAAACTCTTGCACACTAATGTTGGAACATAAAATGGTACAGCCACTGAAGAAACCAATATAGTGGTTCCTCAAGAAATTAAATATTGCCCAGTGATTCCACTTCTATAGATCCAGAAGACTGAGTACAGAGTCTTGAAGAGCTATTTGTTCATTCCCATTTGCAGCAGCCTCATTTACAGTAGCTAGGAGGTAGAAGCAACCACGCACCTACTGATGGGTAAACTGTGAATGCATATGCCATGGGATATGATTCAGCCTTAATAAAAAAGGGAATTCTGCAACCTGCCACATACCTGTCGATATTGGGCTAAGTAGAATAAACCAGTCATAGGAGGCTGGGTGCTGGATGACCCCTTCTGTGTGAGTATCCGGAGTAGTCAACCTCAGAGACAAAGTAGCACGGCAGTGTCCTGGGGTGGTGGGAGAGGAATGGAGACCCCATTTTAATGAGCATAGGGTTGAGGTTTGGGCGGGTGGAAGCTTTCTGGATGTAGGGTGTGAGGGCTGTGCTCTATGTAAATGTTGCCCACACTGCAGAGCTGTACACTTGTGAACAATTACAATGGTGAATTGTGTGTTATGTGCATTTTACCATAGTTTAACACAAAAATGATGCTATGGGGCCGGCGCCATGGCACACTAGGTTAATCCTCCGCCTGCGTTGCCGGCATCCCTTGTGGGCACTGGTTCTAGTCCTAGTTGCTCCTCTTCTAGTCCAGCTCTCTGCTGTGGCCCGGGAAGGCAGTGGGGGATGGCCCAAGTGCTTGTGCCCTGCACCTGCATGGGAAACCAGGAGGAAGCACCTGGCTCCTGGCTTCGGATCGGTGCAGCGTGCCGGCCATAGTGACCATTTGGGGGGTGAACCAATGGAAGGAAGACCTTTCTGTCAGTCTCTCTCTCTCTCACTGTGACTCTGTCAAATAAATAAAAATCTTAAAAAAAAAAAACTGATGCTATGAGAATGACTGATATTAGCAACTTGAAGAAAGAAGGGAGAAAAACCCAGGCTGGGCTCCAAGGTGTAGAGGGAAGGGGCTCATGCCGTCAGATAGGGAACCGATGTCCCCCTGTTGCTGGGACATAGCTTGTGTTCAGGGGCACTGGAGAGCAACACTACTTCTTTTGGACACCAGTTTCACCAAGATGGGCTTCCAGACCACTGCAGGCATAAATAGAGAACAGAAAATAGGCGGTGCACCTTCAACGAGTTAACTCCCTGGGGTGACAGCCACAGACCCAATCAGCTGGCGATGTAAGTGCATCACTGTTTTTTATGGAAATATCAACAGTGTTGGACAGAAGCGGTTCATTTTTCCTGAGCATAGCAGACAGGCTGCCAGGGACAGCTTTAAGAAGGAATGGGGTGTGTTAATGAGCCTGATTGAATCACCCGATATACATGCATGTGCCATGACATCACCTACTGTACCCCATGCACACAGCTACCCCGTATGTCCATGGGGTTTGCATTCCAGGACCCCACTGAGACAGAGGACACACACTCTCCTGTGTATTTGCAATCAACTCTGCATTTCTCATACTGCCCAGTGCAATGTGAACACCAGGTCAGTGGCCATTGCACTGTAGTGTTTAGGGAATGATGACACAAAAAAGATCTGTATGTGTTGGGGACACGCCCAGTGTTCCCCCTAATATTGTCAGTCTGTGGCTGACTGGAGCTGTGGGTACAGAGGGCTGGCTGTAAACAGTTCACGTGTCAATTCAAAGTCAAATAAAATCGCAAACGATGAGCAGGAGTCTTTCAGAAGGAGAGTAAGAGCAGCAGAACAGGCACAAGAGCCGGGCACTCTGTCGAAAGAACCGCACGCAGCTCCCAGTGGCACCGGGAGACAGGACTCTCAGAGCACGCAAACTGCTGTGACGAGCTCCAGGCACAGCCGTGAGGCCTGAGGGTCCGCTCTGGCTACAGGCACCATCGGAGCTGGCCTCTGCCCAGCACTGGGGCCAGGGAAGGCCGCCTCTGCTCCCACGAGTGTCCTCAGGAAATGCCACACGGGTCTGTAACCAGTTAGTGGCTTCAGTTAGTGGCAGAGACCCCAGAAAGGCACGCACCAGATTATAACGCATCAGCCCTAGTTTTCCTCAAGACTAGAACTATTCCAGCTCTTCCTTCACATTTTTCATCCAACATTTCCCAGCACCTGCTGGGAATGCAAACGGAGCCCTTTCCCTGCCCTCGGGGGCCCACAGAGGCACAGGATGGACTCAGCAGAGAGGGAAGCCAATTAGAGCTGCCAACCGTGCAGTCGAGGTGGGTACTCGCACGCGTGGGTTTCCAAAATAAACATTTTAAATTCCATTTTCACAAAGCTTTCGGAGTCCCCTCCTGGGTGCTGACATCTCTCTGGCCTGGTACTTCGTAAGGCTCACAGGAAACCAGAGAGGCTGAAGTCTCATGAACAATCCCATGTTGCAGGTCAGGAAACTGAGACCAGTGAGGCAAGAGGCCACTATAGGACCAAGACTGACCCTGTGCTCTTGGTCTCTACGAAGAGGAGAAGGAGTCCTTGCAAAGGAACATCCCAGGCAAAAAGACTGACCAAGCTAGCAGAGATTCACAGGGAGGCAGGGACCGGGGTACAGGGGCCGAACGGATGTAGCTCATGGGGGCCTTGAACGCCAAGCCATACATTTCTCATCGCTAATTTATGCCCAGAGACCAGGCGGCTGTCTTTGCAACTCCATGGGGATTTCACGTTGTTTCTTTGCCTTAGAGTTAATTAAACTAATGTGCTGGCCCTGATAGCCGCACAATTACAGCCCCTAAGTGCTTTCACACCCTGCTGGGTTTAACAACTACAGATTAACAATTCCCTTATCCTGGGCACAATCAGCAAGGGTCCAGCCCAGGCAGAACTGAAAGAGCCCTCAGCCCAAATCAGCTTCTTTCTGAGCAGCCTGGACCAGAGGCCGGCTGGCCGCAGCACAGCCCGGGAGACACCCAGCAGTCAGCGCGCTTTGCGGGGGCCCTGGGCAGCTCTGCCCGAACCCCTCTGTTAGTCTGAAGGCAAAGATAAAACTCTCAGCCGTGCGCATTAGCATGTTTCAAACTTTCCAGGGAAGAATCCTGTCACCTTCGCCGAGCTCCTCGTCCCTCTAGACACTTCCGTCAGAAATGCATTTTTTGTGTATAATAAATTGCTTCTACTTGGCGGAAAATCATTTCTGGCCGTTATCTGTGCCATCGGTTACCTCTGCCGTGCCTTAATGGACTTCCCTGATTATACGCTAGTCATTAAAAGCTTAGTCCCCGCACAATGGCGCCTGCTGCAGAGGGATCCGCCAGAGCTGTATAGAGGCTTACCAGCCACTGCCTTAATTTTCCTCATTCGTCTTAATTTTTTGTAATCATTTTTTGTAAAGAGGGTATAATGTCAGGCTTGCTTCCCGGCCTCTGACAGATCCAATCTAGCAGATAATTACCATAAGGAAATTGATGCTTTAGTGTGCGGGAGAGAATTTAATTTACTCAGACATCCTCCAGTACAATGCATTCCAGAAGATATGAGGATTTAAGTTTTTAAGAAATTAAATTTTACTATTTAACATGATTACTTATGTTGAACATCATTAACTAGCTTTTTTAACTGTTTGAAATAATTACAAGCACACTTGCTGTGTCTAAAATCCAAAGTCTGCATTAAATATGGGTTAAGGATCCATGAAATGAAAAGAAAAATCCGAGCTCTTTTTTCTCGCCCTCTCGTCTTCCAAATCCCGCTCTCCAAGCCGCCGGGGAAGGCCAGGCGGACACCGGCTTGAGACACACACTCCTCTCCGCGCCATGTTTTCATGCCCACTTCAGTGCAAGCACCGTATTAACTGCTGTGGCTTGGTTTTTCATTTTTTTACTATTATTTTAAAAAACCTCAATCAGTCCAGCCTGGGCCAAGCTTATTGGTATAAAGGGCTAGAAGGGCCGGAAGCCCCCGGGGAGGACGGGCGCGGGTGCGCCTGAGGAGACGACTCCAGCGGCTCTGTTTTCTGAAGAGCTGCGGGAAAAGCAACGCCAATTACACGAACGGAAAACGCCTGTTATCAAAGCCACCCAGACGCCGGGGGCACGAGATAACGCATCGTTCGCTCCGGTTTGTCCCGGTTTGTCCCGGAGCTGCTGCGGGCGCCTGGACGCTCGGACCCCGCAGGGAGCAGGACCCAGGGCGCTGTGCAGGGGCGCGGCCCCACGCAGGCCCGTGCCGCAGCCCTGCGCCAGCCTGGGCTGCACTCCCGAGTTCCTCAATGCCCGCTAAACGTGAAGTGAAACGCCCCACAGGACGTGTCGGACACGGCCAGCGCCGAAGTTCCCTTTGTCCAGCGCCTCTCCCCGTCGCATTTCCTCTCAGGAGAAGCCTCCCGCGTCCCGCCCGCGCCCGCGGGAGACCCTGTGACCGTTGGCGGGGTAAGAGCCGGGGATTGCCCAAGAGCCCCCGCGCCAAATTCCCCCTGGTGGCTGCGGTGGTCCCGCCGTGGGGGCTTCCGGGCGTGGCGGGGCGGCCCGTGTGTGGCTTCACCCCGAGTGTCTGCGAGGATCTCAGCGACGGCGAACCCCGAGGAGGCGGGAGGCGGCAGCCCGGACGGCGGCCCCGCACTGCCGGAGCGCGGCGTCCCAGAGGCCCGCGCGCCGGCTTCCCAGACGCCCGCGCGCAGCCTTCCCAGAGGCCCGCGCGCCGCCTTCCCAGACGCCCGCGCGCCGCCGCCGCCTCTGCGGACAGGCGCCTCTTCCTGGCCGGGGTTCAGCTCCTGAGACCTTAACACGCTCAGACTTGGGAATATATCCGCAGTTGTGTGGGGTTATTTTTAAGTGGAAAGTTAAAAAAAAGAAAAAAAGGAAGTGAAGGCACAGGCCCTACCAAATCGGAGCTGGGTGGTCTGGGTTTGAAAAAGTCGGTTTCTGCCAGACACCATCACTCGCCCATCCCACCCATCACCGGTCTTTCACACCCGATGCTCCTGCTCACGTTTACCGACGAAGACGAGACAGTGGCCACACAAATGTCCCCCGGGACGCAGTATTAGAACCTGTGACAGCCGATTCCAGAGAGCTCACCACGTGCCAGGCGTGGTTCTAAGCATCTCACATGTATTGAATCACACACACATGCACACACTCACAGATACACACACATATACATACACACATACAGATACACATAACACACATGCACACACATACACACACATATACAGATACACTCACACATATACACACACATACATATACACACAAACACAGATACACTCACACATATACACACATACAGATACACATAACACACATGCACATACACACATATACACATGCACACACATATAGATACACACATACACAGATATACTCACATATACAGATACACTCACACATATGCACACACATACATACAGATACACACATACACACATATACAGATACACTCACACACATACACACACGTACAGATACACTCACACTATTACTACCCATTTTACATTTGGAGAAACAAAGTCTCAGAGAGATTTTATGATACAGTTCGCCAGTGGTTGAGCCAGGATTTGGACCCAACACCCTTGTTCTTGTCCCCTTGCCTATACTGAAGGCAGAGCCAGCTCTTCCTCCCAGCCTGGATCCATCCCCACCGTTCCAAAGCCCCCGACAGTCACAGGCATCACTTCCTTTGGGTCCCATTATAATTGGGATTCTACAGTTGGTTCAATTATCCCATCAGCAAGTCAATCATTGATTCACAAACACTTTCAACTTCTGTCCGGAGCAGAGGGACTGTTGGGGACTGAGGATACGGGAGCCACTGGAGATGCCAGATAAGATCCTTTGTCACTGACGATTTTCACTCATCACATCTGTGGAGAGATGCACCTGTGCCTGGGGCAGACGGCAAACCTTCAGCCTCTGCAATCCCTTTAGTCTTCGTTGTGGACACAGTATCGCTGAAGGCCACACATCCTGGTTGTTCCTTTCCCAACCTCCGCACCGCACGCCTCCCCCATGCAGGCCACACATGCACAGACCAGAGCTTCCTCTTTCCAGGGCGCAGAGGCAGGCTCTTCCCAGTGTGAAGTGTGGGCTCCTCACTTCTGCTCCCAGGGAAGCGCCTGCACAGAAGCAGTCCCAGTTAACCGTTGCAGTGCCAGATTGGGTCCTGAGCGTCATCTGCCACTTTCAAGTTCCCTAACTGCCTGAAGGCGCAGGAATGCCTTCTAAGTGCAGTGCTGCGCAGGGCAGATGCGCTGTCTGACCTGCAGGAAGAGCTCATTCTCATTCCCCAGCAGGCAAGAGGCACGCCCTCCCGCTGGTGCTCCCTCCCGCTCTGTTCTGGTCCATTCAGGTGGAGGTGCTGAGACCCCAGGGGGAAGGCAGGGCACCAAAGACTTGCATTTGTGCTCAGAAAAACATTGCCAAGCAGACATTATCGCTGCAATTTGATGGGCACACAGGCAGGAGCGGCCAGCTGGAGAGAGTGTCCTGGAGGGCCCCCGCTGGCTTTGCTGGCAGCACTGTGCCTCCTGCAATACCAAGTGGGCACATGGGACGCTCATCTGCAAACAGAGTCCTGGGCAGCAGCAAATTGAGTGCTTTGCTAACTCAAGAATTGCCACTAAGGAAATCCGAGGAATTCTGGAGTTCGGTGATTGATTCCAGGACACTCCCAGCAGGCAATATCCCGGGCCTGCGCTGCGGCTGATGTGACAACATTGCTGCCTCTGGTCAGATTGGTTGCTGACTACTTGAGCTAACATTGCAGGGTCCACCCTAGCTGAGTCCCATCTGCCTCGCCTGTCGCTCCAGCCTGCCACCAAGCACAGACCCTGGCACAAGGATGCTGGGAAGCCAGGAGCTGATGAATGACGACAGCAAGATGACTAGTTGGAGTTTTCCTATGGATCAGTTTTCAGGGCTGGTTGCTCATCCTGTGGCCTGTGGGAGCTTTTAAGAACCACAACTTAATTAGAGTATACAGAGTCAGACGCAGGTGTTTTAGCTGACATTTCTAGGAAATGGACACTCACAGAGCAAAGACGTTTTGCCCACAGCACACAGCTACACTCAGGACTGTCCTCCACTCACTGTGTGCAGTCACTGGGTGCAGGACTTGGAGAGGGAGGTGGTCCACCGTGAGCTGATGCCACACCAGTCCCTGCAGGGAGAGCGTCTGCTACCCAAGAACTTCCTTTGAAATACAAAGGCTACTTCTTGAATTCGCTTTGTGATGATCTTCAGGTGCTATGATCTTCACATTTTTCATTTAGGAGAAAATACACTGTTTGCTCTCTCCATCATTTCTAGAGGCTATCTAGAGGGTAGATCGCAGTTGTGGGGCTCCGTGGCCAGCCTGGACCCCGTGAGTCTTCTGCAAAGCCAGATGTGGTGGCTGTGCCTCCGTGCCCTCCCCGTGCGCCCTGTGGATATGGGGATACACCGGTGTTCACAGCACAGGGCCACAGGTGCCTAGCCACATTTCAAATCAAACTGAGATCAGACAAGTCCAATGTTAGGGAGGCCAAAAAGCCAATGCCCTACCTCATGTTAGTGGGGGGCACTTGGGGGGCTCTGGACTATGCCCCTCCTGATGCTGGGATGTCACCCTTCGCAGCTGAGAGCTGAGCTAACTAGCACCTGTCAGAAACTCCATGATTGGCTGAAATTCATCAGTTCCTGTGCTTATCATGCAGAACACCTGACCACCCATCCTCCTGCACACATGAAAGTCCACTCACTCATCAAACAGACCTCCCCCCTCCCGCTGTCACTGCCTTCAGGTCCTCGCCGTGCCTTGCCTGGACCGGTGCAGTAGTTGGGCCTCCCGTCTCCTGCAGCACACACAGGCAGGGCGAGCTTCCTAGCCTGGCCTCCCTGCCTTCCCCAGGCTCCCTGGGCCTGCCAGGCCCAGAGTCCCAGCCTCTCCGTCCCTGTCTGGAGTCTCGCTACCCCGTCCTCGCCAGGAACTCGGCTTGAGTAATGCGCCGCTGCTTCTCACTGTGTGGACAGTGCGGTGCCCACTGTTTCCTTGGCTACAGTTTCCATGTCCTCTTGTTCGCTCAGCAAATCCTTACTCAAGCTGGAGGAGTCCAGCCGGACACTTCCCCTTCTCTGGATTTCCTGGTCAGACGCGGTGTGTCCAGACTGCTGTCCGTCCGCCGCAGAGCCCTGGGGAAGCTCCCGCTGCACGGGCAGACTGAGGAGACGTCCATCCTGACCCTCTCCCCGGGGTTCAGTCTCCAGACCTCAGTTTCCCCACATGTAAAATGAAATTAGAAACATACAAGAAATTAGATCTTGTATGTCAAGAACTTGATGCAATTTCTAGTGTGCAGTGGTCAGTAACAAGATGTGCAACAATTGTCTTGAACTCACAGTTCTGCACCAAGCCACAGGCAGGTTCTCCATGGCAGAGGCTGGATCTTCCCATGTCTGCCCAGATCTCAGACCCAGGGCACAAAACATGTGGCCGGTGGAGGTGGGGGAGGGGCCGGTGAGCAGGGCTCAGCTCGCTGGCCTTTGTAGGCTTTGGCTGCCTTTCCCACCTCCATCAGCCAAAATGGGCCTGCCCAGGAGGGACAGCATCGGGCGCCCACTCACTGTCACTTCTGTCACAAGACGGAGGCCAGCTCTCAGTAATGCTTCAGAACAGGTGCCACTGGTCGGTGCACAGCCGAGCTGGGCATGGCCATGCTTCTGCCGACCCCAAGGAAGCACTGGGACAGTCTGTGCAGGGAAGGGTCCCGGTGGTGGGCACCGGGCTCCTTGGGTGATGCAAGCTCCAGGCAGAGGGAACTGAGAAGGGCAGTGGCAGATGACACGGCAAAGCGTTGGCTCACTGTGCTTTCCTGGAAGCGTGAACATCTCCGTGAACTTTGACCAGAGGCGCTAACCCCCACTGTCCCTGGCGATGCTTGCACACAGCTGGTGCTTGGTAACAGCAGGCAGAATCCTAGGTGCGGTTTCCGCTCCGCCACCGAGTGGGCACCTCCTGTGTGAGTGTGAGCTGCTTTCCTCCACATCCTGAGCCCCTGTCCTCACATGTGGGGCAGCAGAATCATGGCTACTGTCCAGGCGCCCCCCCGGCCAACACAGGCTCGGCAGAGTGCTGGCCAGTTTCAGAAAGCGCTGCCACTGGGCCATCCCAATGGCGATGTTCTCTAGGATGCTTTCTGGGACTTAACATTCGCTCTGGACCCAGGAGGAGCCTTCAAGAGGCTTAGGGCAAAGGAAACGAAGACAATGACTGCGAGAGCAGCTGTGAAAGCCGCAGTCTACTCCCGGTGCAGCCGTGTCTGGAGGACTTGCCGCACTCCGGTCGTCACTCGGGTCTTCGTGTGCTGCCTGTCTCAATCATTCCCTCAGCAGCCGCGGCCTACCTGCCGAAGTGTTCAGACAGCCCCCTTTCCTCCAGGAAATTCTCGCGATTGCTGGGTCCAGGTTGTGCATCCAATCCGGCCGGACCAGCGTCTTTATTGCAACCTCTCTGTGCACTGATCAGCAGTAAGGGGGTTAACGACGCTCTCACGCGGAGAGGCGCAATTACTTTCAGCATTAGCGCCCATTAAGATGAATGACAACGTATGATAAGTAGCGTTTCCATTTGAAATTGAAATTGTATCAATTAGCCTTTAAACTAGCCTAAATAAATTCTGTTTGGTG